ATTATATAGATCCATCCATATAAAAATAAATACCATAATCAGTCATTAATAAAACATTTAGCTGTATCATAAAAAGCACCATACAAAGACAATAATATATATATCCAAAATATGCACACAAATGCCCTCAAATACAAGGGATAAAGACATACAGAAAAACTACGGGCTATGACTATGAAAAAATACTACATTTTTACATATAATGAGCTCCTTTGTTAAATAAATATGTCCTTTTTCGTACAAAGAAAATATTCTGCAAATTCAGAATGATTTTACAGATTTTTTTTTAATCAAGCATTAATGCAGATCAGCACAATTTCACACAACCAACCTCTCTGCTTGAACTGGATTCCCCACACCTTACTGAAGCCACAGTTCCCCTGCACAAACTCCCACTCCATCACCCCCACACACACCCAACTCCCCACCAACCTCACAGGGGTTCCTGGGCTGGTCCATGGAATCTGATGACATCACTCTCTCTTCCTTCCTGGAATTCTAAACCCTGCTGCTCTCCCCTTGCACACTGCTACCATCTCCATGGCAACCTCATCTCCTCCTGCTTCCCTATTGGCTTCATGAAGCAGGATACACAAAAAGGTTTTCCGTTCTTCCCCCAGGGCCCGCCCCCCCAAAATGATGCTTTTGACAGGAACCTGAGCTAAATTTAGCTACTTAGTACTGAAAGTCCTCTGACTAGGAAAACAGAGATAAATTTCCTCCTTTCAACATTCCACCTTCCCTCAACCCCACTGCAAAGTCGTTGCTTCACCTCTTTCTGTCAATCCAAAACCAAGTGGTGATGTGTACTGAACCTTTAAAGACAGCCAAAATGTCGGGTGTGGTGGTGCAGGCCTGTAATCCCGGCACTCAGGAGGCTGAGAAAGGAGAATCACATTGAGTTCGAGGCCAACCTAGGCTACGTACTTCAGGACCAGTCTGAACTACAAAGTGAGACGCTGTCTCAAAAAAAAGGGGGGGTAAGGGGGGATAGCCAAAGCGCCTTCCTCCACATATAAAGCTGGCACACAGAAAATTCTCACACTTACCTCCTCCCATGACAAGGTGGGTAGGAAAGGAGGAAGGGAAGACACCAAAAAAAGTATGCACAAAACTGTTGGAACACTTCATGTGCCAAACATCTCTTCTGTTGCTTCCTTCCATACCAAGACTAAAAGCAAAAATGCCACGTGTAGAGAAAGAACAGTGTACCCTCATAGAAGACCAAATTTTATTTCTGCCTGATAAGATTTCCTCCATCATAGAAAGAAAATAGGGAAAAAAGTGATACAGAAAAACCACATACTTCTCTAACCAAATACATAGCCAGGAACCAAAAACTCTGGTACCAATTTTTCCATCCCCGAGACTGACCTACTATATAAATTGGCAAGTTCTTACATACTGCATTTAAAAGTTAGCACCCACACGAAGATGTTACAAGAATTGCTGAAAAAAATTAACGTAAAGTAGTTTAGGTTAGATTCCTGAACCAAAGGACTGAATAAATTGACATCATTATTAATTCTTACAAATATAATCAGAAATTTAAAAGCCCTACAAAAAGAATACGAACCTCCAGAAAATTAGCTTTCTATAATCATAGACATGCCATACAATATACATAATTTCTAGAACCATAACCAGTTCCATAATGTTTCTACTTCTGGTAAAATCTAGCAATACTCACCATTAGACAACCTGTTACCAGTTTTGTAGCTGGCCCATTTTTGTTTCTTTTCCTTTTCTTTTTCCGAGAAAGGGTCTCACTCTGTAGGTCAAGCTGGCCTTCAACTCACTATATAGCCCAGGCTGGGCTCTTGAACAAGTGGCATATCCTCCTGCCTCAACCTCCCAAGTGCTGGGATTACAGACCTGCACCACCACACCTGGCTTCTTTTTCTTTCTGAATCCAAACACTAATTTTGAAATTACTACTCACTCTCCCTAAGTAAGAGCTTCCTTTTCTAGCTCAGCTGCCCACTTCTAGTTCTAGGGAAATAATTCATTCTCAGAGCCATATCTGATTGCTGAATACTGAATCAATGCAGTAGCTATGTCCTATATGGCAATGAAAGACAAAGCATCAATTGTGACCAAGTAGGAAAGGCTCCAAGCAGGTCAGACCCTTGTAGAAGGAAAGGGAGTACATAAAAACAAGACACATCCAAGAAAACTGTATTTTCAGTTTCCAAGGCAGAGACTCAGCTCCAGGGCATCAACTTTCCATGGGGGGGGGAGAAAGGAAAATAATTAGTATAGTCATAAGAAACAGTTATCTTCCCCAAACAGAATGTACATAATACAGAACAATTAATAAAATCAAACTACCCATCTAGTGAATACATAGGTATCTAAAAAATGTTTCCTGCCATGGAAAAAAACAAAAAAAAACAAAAAAAAACCAAAGGATGTATTCTGTGCTGTTCTGGTAAACAACAAACTCACATTCCATGGGGCAGGAGCACTGTAGAATATGATTAGCTCATCTCTTGGAATATGTGTTTTCTTATTCTACTCCTTGCTGACTCCTAACAAACCAGTGCTCATATAAAACCACTCCTCTGTACATCACTGTCAGATGACTCCATAGACAACTAACTGTGATGTGCACTAAACTTCTAAGGATCTGCTTAACACTCTCAAAAACAGCCCGTTACCTTTTTGCAGGGATGGCAAACCTTTTAAAGCTTTTAACAATAATAAACAGCCACCTGCAGCACATATGGCCATAGGTCTGCCACCACTGCCTTATTCTATCTGGAAAAACGAAGCAGTTATCATTATAAAATCTATCGACAGTTTGGACTAAGTAGATTGTTGTAATTGAAGTTCTACTTATTCTTAAATTTAACTACACATTACAAGCACTTACTATATGCCAGGGGTTTTATATGGGTTGTCATTCATTTCTGAAAAATAAAAAACAGTAAGTTGTATGTATTCCTATATCTACTTTGCAAACAGACAAAAGTGTTCCACAGATGACCAACATGACCAAGATTCATGTAGCTAATTTTTTTAAGCCAGGATTCTAACCCAGATCTCTTTAAATTCCAAAGCCCGTCCATTTTTATAATTGGCCTCCCATTTACAGATACAGTTGGAAAGAAACATCTAGAAATTATTTCACATCTGTGTGTTCTCTATCATCAATGAAACATAAGTTGTTTAACATCAAGGTCAAACTCAAAGTTTTTATGTATTTCTAACAGTACTGGGGCTGGGGATTGAGTTCAGTGGTTCCACCACCTGCCTTGCAAGTGCGAGGTCCTGAGTTCGATACCCGGTACCAAAAAAAAGAATGTAACAGAGTTAAGCACTAAGTAGGTACTCAGTACCTACTAATTTATTATTCTAATCCTATGATTCTAAATTTATGGACAAATGGTAATGATTCTATGCAGATCTTTTTTGGGGGGGTACTGGGGATCAAACACAGGACCTTGTGCTTATAAGGCAGGAGCAGTTCCACTGAGCTAAATCCCAGCCCATATGCAGATCTTTTTAAATTAAAACTGGTTTGAGAAGTTACATACTGAAATGACAAAAATTCAGATAACACATTCTGGAATCTAATATTTGAGATTTTAAAACTTATCACAGCCATAAAGGCTCAGGAATAATGCATATGCAATCCTCTGTGACTTCATTTGTTTGTTTGGGGTTTTCTAGTATGAGACTGAATCAAGGTCCCTGCACATGCTAACCATGACCTCTGAGGTGCATTCTCTATTCCTCATCTTGTTGGTTTTAATCTACAAATACTGACGCAATCAGGACCTATACTTTAGATTTATAATTTCTACATTCTACATAAAGAACCAGAGCATTTCTCTAGGGATTCCACTAAAATTAATTCAGCTGATTACAGGACCATGCTAAAGAGGCCAAGGTCATGTGTCTGATATTCATATGAACCAGTTAGTATCACTCTCTCCTACAGCAGTATCCACTCTGTTGTAAACATACCACCTTGCTTTTCTGAGGAATGAATATAAACTACTGGCATCTCTGGGGGAAAAAATGTTAAGGCATGCATGTACTAATGTCAAACACTATAATTAGTTTTTATTCTTTAGGAAACAGCATTGCCTTTCAGAAAAATGATGCCCCATCATTCATACTTTCTTTCAACATTTACTGAACACCTACCACGTGCTAGTTGCTAAGTCTCAAAAGGTTGGTCCTGAAGAACAAATGAGCACAGCTCCTTGTTATATGCAACAGAACACAGGTATACAGAATACATTAAGAGTAGTCAAGGAGGAATAGCTAGTTCTCAAAGGGAACATGGAAAATGAGCAGGGGTATATTAACATCAAGAGGAAGGTTAAGAACATACAAGGACAAAAATATACAAAACTGTTATCATAAGAAGCACAGCGAATTCAGGAGCAAATACCCGAAATTCAAGTTTTTAATGAAGGCCAGGTTTAGAGTTGACTGAAATGACTGGTTTATAGAAGACAAGACCACATCTTTTAGATGTGTCCACCCCATCAGATTAGGTTTTCCTGGGATCTCATTTCAAGTTAGGTTTTCCAAAAAGGGTGAAAACATTTTAAGACTATGCAGAGATTTCTTCTCTTTATACTTTCTTTGATAAGAATACAGGTCAAAATAAGGTAAATCCTTCTGAAACTGAAGGTTCAAGTGGCTGAAAACCCTCAGCAAAAAGGTTCCTTTTTTCTGAAAAGCAAAAGCTACATTTGCTGCCCCATGAAGCAGAGTGAACATTTTCTTATTGTTCTCAGAATTGATTTAAAAAGTGATCCATGAAGATTATTAATCATTCTTTTTTCCTATTGTCATTTAAAACTGTGTTGAGCCAGGCATGGTGGTACATGCCTGTAATGCCAGCTACGTGAGAGATAGAGTCAGGACTGTGAGTTTCCAGCAGCCAACATAGGCACCTGATCAAGACTATTTCAAAATAAAAACTAATTGGGCATGGTGGCATGGATACACCTGTAATTGTAGTACTCAGGAAAGCTGAAGCATGAGGATCACAAGCTGGGTGGTTCTATCCTGGCAACTTAGCAAGACCCCATCTCAAAATTTTAAAATATATATAAATAAAAAGGTCTGGGGAGGCAGTTCAGTGGTAGTGTCCCTGGTCTGACCTCTAGTACTGAAGCGGGGGGTGGGGGGGCCACCATGCCAAAGGCTCTAGATTCAACTCCCAGTATCACAAAAATCAAAACAAAATCTGTGTTGAATATTTGACCAAAAAAAAAAAAAAAATTTTTTTTTTTTTTTGAGAGACAGTCTTGCTCTGTAATTCAGGCAGGCCTCAAACTCACAGAAATCCTCCTGCCTTAGCCTCCTGAGTGCTGGGATTACAGGCATGTACCATCATGCCCAGCTAGATTTTTTTTAAAAAGCTCCTTCATCTCTACACAACACCTGAATACATACAGACACAAATGTATGAGCACACTCACATCCTATCAGCTTGACAAGCAAGGGTCCATACATGTATAAGCACACAGAACAAAAGCATAATTTTTAAGGTAAACTTTTATTGAAGCACATTAGGCAAA